GCCCGCGCCACCGCCGCCGCCGCCGCCGCGCAGCGCGTCAGGCGCGCCCATCGGGGCGCATGGCGGCGGCCTGCAGCATCACCACGCAAACCTCAACTATTGGAACTCGACCTTTTAGAATGCAAGGTTACTACTTCACTATCAAGAATATTATTGAATTTAATGGTGATTCATGTGTTGTACATTAAACTTAAATTACCGTGTGCATTAAAATAGCTTAATATACTTATACAAATTATATTAATTACAATACTTATTAACTTTACAATACTTATTAAAAATAATTAATATACAATAAAAATAGCTTAAAATAGCTTAATATGCTTCAATTAAAATCAGTGTAGATTTAATGTAAAGGTTCTATTATGTCCCCTGTCTCTCATTATTCACATCACATATTCATAATAACCAGTTCATCAAGATCGTTCTTTCATTCTCTCCAGACATGACCATAAAGTTTGTACTATTGCTTAATTACCTGTGTACATGTGTACATTAAATGCTTACATGTGTATATTAAATTTAATATGAGTTCGTGATAACTACTTTAATGTACATTTCATTAAAGTAAAGCAGACATTTCTAACAGTGTAATATTTCAATCGTTTATTGACCACATGCCACTTTAACCCCTGTTTTCATGCAACCCTACAGATTTGTTAAGTGCACTTGCATCTACCTGTATGTTAAGAAATTTAACATCCTTAGCAACGGGTTTTAACATGCTTAGCTACGTATATAAACAATCAACGATTCATCGCATGTCGACTGTTTATTAAGAAAAAAGCATGGCGATGTACAAAACAAATCAGATTCAAACAATTCAGAATAAAAGTATCACGTATTTATTTTGGGGATACTTATTATTAATTGAAATATTAATAAGACAAATTAGAAAAATGTATCTTAGATAATTTAATTTCATTTTCCTTGTATCCCATCCAATGAGACTCTTCTCCAGTAATTATATTTACTGATGATGTGAAGGTGTCGCCATTGCAAGTCGACGCGCCAACTTCCTCACCGAAAGTCATTTGTTTAGGTTCAAGGGAATTATTTGCACCTTTCTTTCTCGAAACATGGTATACGAATATTGTTTAAATAGATATATTGTAAGCAACACCCCACAATATCGTACTAGCATAGCGCCAGTTCATTTGTTTACAACTACAGGGATATAAATTTTCGCATACATCGTGAGATTGTATGGTGTCCGGTCAAATTATGAACATACCACGAACTGTTACAGTGATATTACTGCCTGGAATTTTAACTTTTGTCCT